CAAGGGCTGACCTCATCCTTGCCAGAACCACATAAGGAAGGTCAGAAAGCTTTTAGTCTTGATTTATAAGCAACAAGGCTGATTTCTCTTGAGAACACGTGAGAGAAGAGCCTCTCATCAGGCAATCTCTCCCTTTTGGGGGGCAGAGAGAATGCAGTTCTCTGCACAGTAAGATTAGTTTGACACAAAAAAACAAGAAGAGTCTGTAGACTGCCTGCAAGAGATTCATGAGGGAACAGATTTGGAACATAACTTTTATAAAAAAAGAAATATACACATTAACATATATTTTTATGTATGAATCATACAATATTAAAATATATGTTAAAATATGTATTGAAAACATGTTTATCTACCTCTATTTATATACTTTTTTTTTTTTTTGAGACAGAGTCTCACTATGTCACCCTTGGTAGAGTGCGGTGGTGTCACAGCTCACAGCAACCTGCAACTCTTGGGCTTAAGCAGTTCTCTTTCCTCAGCCTCCCGAGTAGCTGGAACTACAGGCACCCACCACAACACCCAGCTATTGTCTTATAGGTGTCATTGTTGTTTGGCAGGCCCAGGCAGGGTTCCAACTTGCCAGCCCTGGTGTATGTGGCTGGCTTCCTAGCCACTGAGCTACAGGTGTGGACACTTTATTTCTATACCTTTAGAAAAATTTGGGATAAAAGAGGAAATCTCAGCGTTGGTATGAACCAAATTTATGTTAAATAATTTTAGAGGAGAAAAGAAGGTAAATATCTGGGGAAAGGAATTATTGGACTAACCTATCCTAAGGATATTGAGTTTCATGTCCTGGGAAGACATGAGGATGTTTGGACACAAACTTCTCCATCCTGAAGAGTTCCTAACAAAAGCCTTCCCTTCTCACAGATGAATCATTGGGGAAAGTTTTTAAAAGCATGTATTGCAAATAGCTTTGCACAATGATTATACCAAAAGAATTTCCAATAAACACGTAAGATATTATCCTTTCTCTGGAATCTTTATCAGTACTGGGTAAAGGCATTTAAAGTCTGAAATGGAAAAAGAATATTCTTTATAATGTTCAATTTAGGATGCACCTTTTCTATATATTTCTTCTCTAACTGCATTTTCTTTTTTTAAGATATTATATTCTTAACTTTCCTGTTTTATCTACCTTAACATGTTTTAAATCAACTTAAGCTTCACCGTGTTTTGTTTACCTGTTTAACCAAGATCTGATAAGCCTACGTAATTTCCATTGATGATACAGGATGGCCATAAAGTTCATGTGCAATTTAAAGTAACTTAATGGACACCCTGCATAAAAGAATTAGAAAATTTCTCTGCTGTGCCTATTAATGTATTTAAATCTGATAATGTTTCATTGTGATTTTTAAAAATAATAATTAAAAATTGGTCTCAAACAATTGGGTGGATACTTTCTCTGATTTTCTCTGATGCTACATCTCCCGCTACAGACAAACATGCAAACATAGACATCAATGTTAAACAGTAGAATCCCTATTGCTCTCTCTATATGCTAATATTTTTAAATATTAAAATATTTAAATATTTTAAAACATGAGATCTCTGAGCAGCATTATGGTGTTATTTGAATAATTATACCTATGTTTTAGGAATTCTAAATGATGATAGTTAGAGTCCACTCGTGAAATTCACTGAGTCTGTAATTTGTTGAAAAATTGTGGAATAATCTAAGTTGTCTAAAACAGGGAACCTTCCTCCAAAAGGAAGACAATGAAATGGTGTTATAAAGATGTATTCTATAAATTAATGAGCAGCAAGAAATGAAAGACATAAACGAGAGAAAATGTTATTTTTGCAGAGAATGAGAAAAAAGCATTCTCCTTCCTCTCCAACACACACACACTGGGCTGATGATGCGGAAGGAGATTAAGGGAAAACGCATGTGGTAGATAAGTGAAAATTTAAGTCATTTTTATTGTCTGAAATAATGAGATGAACATTAATAAGATCTTTTATTATACCTGCATCAATTGGGCTTTAATTTGGGACCATTTAGAATACTGCTCCTGACTAGAGAGTTTTTATTGAATGCAATAAACAGTGATTACACATTAAAATATTATGAATCATGTGCATTTAGAAACAATCTTATCAAGTGTAGGTACTGAGGTTTATTAATTCTTGAAGTTGTTACGTGGATTAGTTCCTTGAACATAATGAGTGGTCATTTTTTTCGGATGACTGAATGGTGGTGAAATGTAAGGTTTGAAAGAATCAAATTTTAGATAATGCCATTAACATGTCATACGTAGCAATAAATATGCTTAAAACTCAAAATCATAGAAAAATGTATTTTACTTTAAAATAAACATTGAGGCTTGGCGCCTGTGGCTCAAGCGGCTAAGGTGCCAGCCACATACACCTAAGGTGGCAGGTTCGAATCCAGCCCCGTCCCACCAAACAATGACGGCTGCAACCAAAAAAATAACTGGGTGTTGTGGCGGGCACCTGTGGTCCCAGCTACTTGGGAAGCTGAGGCAGGAGACTCGCTTGAGCCCAGGAGTTGGAGGTTGCTGTGATCTGTGATGCCACAGTACTCTACCCAGGGGTACAGCTTGAGGCTCCGTCTCAAAATGAAATAAAATAAACATTGACTGTAAAAAGATAGTAATAGCAATTTTATTTAAATTGACTGACAATTATGACCTGCCAGCTCTGTGCAAGGTAATGTTTTTGGTGTTAAGGAAACTATATAGTTTGGTCTCCATCAATAAGTAATTATGCCAAAAATAAGTTAGTGTATATCATCAAATAAAATTGAAGACAGAATGAGATAAATGGCATAGAAAAAGAAAAATGGCAGTGATTTTGAAAGAAAATGAATTTATGCTTACTCTAGTTATGCTTCTGAGGTAGGCCTGGGAAACTTTGGAATAATATTAAGAAAAGCATCTCAAGCCAGAGTGGAGTATGAAAATAGCTGAAGAAAACTCATATTAAAGGTGATGGCCTTCAGTATGCAGGGAAAGAATTAAAGGAGATCATAACAGTACACTCTGGCACAAAGCAGCCCACAAGAGAAGCAGCCCTGTGCTGGAACCAGCCTTGTCGGCAGAGGGTATCCGTGAAATAGGCTGGAAGCATGTGGCCGTGAGTGGCAAATCGTCTAAATCCTCTAACTTGTTTCCACCTTTGCCCTTCCTGTGCTCAACTCTTACCACACTGGCTTGTCAAGAAGTAGCTGACTTCCTTTGTTCATAAATCTTTGTGATCTAATCTTTTGTCCTCTCACAGATTTGCATTCCCCCTTTCATTGAGTTATAGTGATCTTAGAACTGTGTTTTTATACTCCTCAAACTTCTACAATTAAAAAAAGTCCATAAGATGCTACAATATTGATATGTAATTACTAAACTGCATTTTTTTTTTTGAGACAGTGTCACTGTTGCCCAGGCTAGCATGCTGTGGCATCAGCCTAGCTCACAGTAACCTCAAACTCCTACATTCAAGAGATCCTCTTATCTCAGCTCCCCGAGGGACTACAGGTGCCCACCACAACACCCTGCTAACTTTTTCTGTTTTTAGTAGAGAGCGTTGGTCTAGCTCATTTATAATCTTTTGTAAGCAAGCTAGCTCTTGCTCCAGCTGGTCTCAAATTTCTAAACTGAAATGATCCTTCTGCCTCAGGCTCCTGAGTAGCTGGGGCGATAGGCACCCACCACAAGACCTGACTATTTTTCTATTTTTGCATTTTTTACTGTCAACATACATCTAATAGTATTATATAAAAATATAATTATCATAAAATTGAATTCTTAAGTAAAAAATTAGATATGAGTAGCATGTTCTAACATGACTGACAATTAATATATATCTGTGCTGACACTCCAAATATACTGTCATTTATCCTCCAATAATAATTGAAGACATTATTATTATTGTTTATATTGATTAATTGATTGATTGATTTCTGTTTAGCAGGCCGAGCCGTGTTCAAACCTGCCAGCCCCGGTGCACAGGGCCAGTGCTCTACCCATTTAGCTACAGGTGCCCAGCCCATGATTTCATTTTATGGTAAAAGAAACTGATGTTTACAAGAACTGAGTTACTTGTCTAAAGTCACGGAGCTCATAAATGGCACGGATGGTATTAAAAAGCCCAGATTCTTCAAAAATAATCAAATGAATTATTAAGGGAAGGATGAGAAGAGAAGCTTCTCGGGTTTCTAAACTGCCAAGGGCATAACTCTGGACCAAATTCACCAAATTATACTTGTCCTGAGCCTCCTACTTCAGGAATTCAGGAGAGGGAAGAGGAAAATGAAAATTACTAAGCTCAGGCCTCTTTCTACTAAGCGTTCTCTTATGCCCGTGTAATGTCAGCTGCCTAAAAGTAGGCCATGACAGTCTGCTCAAATTGCTCTGTTTACCAGATATTTTAAAAAATGTATTTTTAATATCAAACATTAAAATAATTCTGCTTCAGAAAATTAAAGAAGAAAGTCTAAATGGGAAGAAAATAATCCAAAAGAGAGCGAAAAAATCCATTTACAGGTTTTTTTTTGTTCAGATCACTGACACAACTCTGTCAGTGCAAGTAACTTATTTGCTCTGGCAAACAATTGTTATTAACATAAACTTTTTCCCCATCATTAAATCGATATTCTTCAAATACTTTAAGCTTTTGGGAGATGCGTTATTGCCTAGTACTGGGCTCCACATTGCCAGCCTGTCCAGTGCTGAATCTGGCAGATAATATAAACATTTAGAATCTTCTGTACGTCCTATGTAGGAAGTAAGGACCAGTGACAAAAGGCATCATACTAAGTGTGCAGGACAAGTCACATTTGTGGTATAAAATAGGGCGGAGAGGATTCCATAAGGACACTGTGGTCAGTATACACTCTGAGACCTTTCAATACATACACACGTGCCCCTGGAAAGCACAACCAAGACAGACAAGCAGCAAAGAGAGCTTTACAAGGTGTCCAAGTAATAAATAATTTACAAAGCAATTTAGCAACCTCAGCAGGCACCACTTACAAGGTTGTGGTAGGGAACGGAGTCTATATTTGTAGAGAAGAGTAGAATCAATACAAGGAGTAAGCTGTCAGTTTTTTCTATAGTGTCAATATCTCAGACTGGCTGCTTTCCCTGGTGCTCCTGTAGAAACAATTTCCAAAGCATACTATTGAGTGACATGCTGCATGGATTAAATGATTTACTTTAATCCCCTAACTGCATGTTGAAAGACCAATAGCCCAAAAGGAATAGTAGAGAGCCTGAGGACGAAGCAACCCATAACAACAGTGTGAGTTCGGAATGGTTTATACTTAAGAAGAGTCTCTTGCCACAGCAAGTAACAGACAGAACAAGTGGAAATAAGTGGTCATGATAGACTTACCATATCTGCCTACTGGGAGGGTCGCTCACCACATTGAGAGATCTGACTAAGTAGATTTATTGGTCAGCTTTTCCATTGGAAAGTCATTAGATAAAAAGGTGATTTGATTTTAGAACAGCAATGAGCAAGCCTAGCTCCCTTTTAGCTTATACTTCTGTGTATGTACCCATGTAAAAAAAATTTTTAAGCATGTCATAAAATGCAGATACAGTCTTAGCCCTAAAGAATTAAGTCCAACAAATCCTTATCTCATTAAATCAGAAAGCTATGGAATTAAATGTAATGTAAGTAAAAAGCAGAGGGCAGCTTCACAGGCAAACGCAACAGGAAAGCACTTATTTTGGCCATGGAGGAAGGTTTAAAAAATTGGAATGAAGCAATGAAGTCCACATTGCTATGTGACTTCAACCTTTTAAATTCGGACATAGGGTTCAATTTAGCTCTAGTCCCTTAAAGCACTTAACAATTCTATTATTCTAAACATTAATTTAGTGTTAAAGGGCACTGTTGATGAAGGATGAGTTTAACTTAATGAGCTACTGAAGTGTGTGGCCAAAGGCATCAAACTACTGGGATAAAAATTTCAGGGGCAAATACACATAAGAATTAGTTTCCCTTCCAGTACAGATTCTGCCATTTAGATGCACTCACACAAAATCTAGAAGCCAACTAAATGCTTTGGGCTCCCCAAGCATGGGATTCTACAGCGGCCTTCCGGTATTTTCCACCTCAATGTTGGAGGCTGTTTGATGAAGGCCCATAGTTCCCTGACTTGTCAGTAGTGAACCTGAAAACCAACAGGGGTCTTTGCTGAATTTTGCTTCTCCAGGCCTTGCAATGGTTTTGCAAGCACTTTGTTCCTGAATTAAATGCCTTCTACTTCAAATTCCTAAGGTCTTTTCTGCTTGTCTGGACCAAGCACGGATGAGACGGTTGCCTTTTCATATCTTTTAATAGACAGAAAACATCACAGCACAGATGCTCCATTTTTAAAAGAAGGAAAAAGGATATCAAAGATATTGAGATAAAAACCATAAAATATGACTAATTCATTCTGCCTCCACTTAAACCTGAATTTTCTAATTGGTAAATTGAAGAATTTGTCATGTTAATTTCTAAAGTCTCAAATGTGAGTTTGAGTCTTAAGTTTGCATGAGTCTAAGATCATTGTCCAAAAGTCAAACATTTCAAATTGTGTTTAACAGCAGCCATTTTTATATTTTCTATTAAGTGGTTCTTAATAGTAGAACCTGAGAACATAAAAGTCTATATAAAACATGGTTCCTATCCTTAAAAAGTCAATCTCTTTGTGGAGAGAAATATTGGTGAGGTTAATTAGCATGAAGGAGTAGGGAAAATACTCATTCTAATTCTAGTTATTCCTTAAATTCAGAGGAAAATTCATAACTGAGAATGGGGGTGATTATGAGATTAGGTCTAAGCAGAGGGTTAGAGAATGGGCAGATATTTTGACTGGTGGGTAAACGTAAAGATGTTTGAGGTGAAGAAAAGCAAATAAAGTAGACCCTTGGTAAATCAACCACCCAAGGGATTGCAACAAGTTGGGCAACATACAGGGGTGGTCAACATAAAAGACCTATTGTACTGATATGCACACAGGGTGCATGTCCAGTCTATGAAAATTAAGTCAACTAATTAGGAGCTGGTCAACGCAGGGAGGTGTTTGATCATGGAGGTTCTACTGCAATTGGTGTTTGAAGGATGTGTAGACTGTGTTACTGGACAGTAAGAGAGGGCCTATTTCATGGAAGGTTTATAGAGAACTAGGCAAAAAAAATTGAGATTTGTTTATAGTAATGATTAGAACTCATTGAAGATTTTTGAGCAGATAAGTGATCCAATGTGTACAAACTCAATAACAAATATAAAAGATCAAATGTGTAGCTGTCCTGAAAGGCTTAAATGTGACAGGTTCCAGAATCAAGGGCATGTTATACATCTTAAAAATATAAATAAGTTTAAAAAAAAATAGGCCAGTTTCAGCAGCTCACTCTTGTAATTCTAGCACTCTGGGAAGCTGAGGAAGGTGGATCACTTGAGCTGAAGAGTTAGAGACCAGCCTGAACAAGAGCAAGACCCGATTTCTACTAAAAAATAAACCAAAAAACTAACTAGCTGGGTGCTATAATGGGCACCTGTAGTCCCAGTTACTTGAGTGTCTGAGGCAAGAGTACTGATCCACACATACAATTATATGCAAAAGAACAACCTGTCTGCAAGATGGCAAAAGAAACCAATCCCAAGATAAATCTATTGTAATAGGAATTAAAGAGTGTGAAAATGAGTTTGAAATCATTTGTTATTTGCCCAAGAGAAAACAAACTAGGGTTTTTAAGTTTCACCATCTTTTAAAGATAAAACTTTCATTGGCTTATGGATGTTTTAGTTAATCACTATTTTCATTTTCACATCTTTTCTTCTGAATTTAACATGTTTACAAATTCATTATTAATAAATGGTTAATACGGTTTGTGATATTTGTGCAATTTACATTAAAAACATGAACATTTAATGTAGTTCAACAAGATATTTTGTTTTATTAGTTACATTCAGTACGACCACTTACATAATTGGTGGCTAAGAGCCTAGGCACTGAACGTATTTAGAGACATCAGGTGTAAGTTTGAGCTATGTATACTGACTTTCTGACTTGCTATATAACTTCAGATAATTTCCTTTCTTTAAGATTTAGATTTCTTATCCATAAAATGTGATGAATGTGGTTTCTACTTCGTAAGTTTTTAGTGGAGGTCTCAAAGAGATAACATAGAAAGTGCTCAGATTGTTCCTTGCACTTATTCATTGGTTCATTTCTTCATCAAATGTTTACTTCACTCTTCTATGTCCCAGTCACTGACTGACACTGAGCAAAGACACAGTTACCGCTCTCATGAAGTTGATCGTTTAATGGGGAAGACAGACATGAAACAGAACACATAAGGCTATTCATTATAATCACAATAAATACCATAAAAAAATTAAGGTGTTATGAGAACATACAAGTGGGGAACATAACCTGATCTGAAGGGACCCAGAAGATTAGCAAAGACTTTCTTTACAAAGCACATTTACACTGGAGCCTGAAATAGAATTAGCCCATCAAAAAGGTGGACCCAAATTCCAAAAGGAGAATACTAGAGAGGGCCCTGAGATGGACAGAAACTTTGTGCAGTGGAGTTCTCAGGCTCAGGACTCACACATGCCTACACAGTCATAATCATATGCACCATGTACTCATATATCCTGCTCTTTTCATTTATCATCAACCTGTGAGCATTTTTTCATGTTATTAAATATCATGATATGTAATGACTGTTTAATACTTATCAGGAAGTTGTACCATAATATATCTAACTATTCTCCTAGGTAATCACTTGGTTTGTTCCCAATAATTTCTATTTCAAGAAATGCTGACATAAATATTCAGATTTACTTGAGATTAATTCCTCATAATGATATAATAGGTCAAAACAAGAAATACGGTCAATTTTATCAAATTTCATTTCATTAAAAGAGGAAAAATTTACACTGGGAAAAGCAGCCATCCACTTGTATTTCTTAACTTGAATTTTCCTTAGCTACAATTTTGATCTGTAATATTAATAATAATCATGATAATAATAGTAATGTTGTGATAATCCAGTGAGGTACCTCATGTGAAAGTGCCCATGTGTCCAGAAAAATTATATACAAGGTCTGCTATTTTTATCAATGCTGTTTATCATTGACCAAAACATATTAACACGGGGATAATATTTCTGAGGAACTATAACTAATGATACTTATTATGATATAAACCTATTTAATAATCTAATGGGCATTATTATAATACATTTTTTTTCTAAAGACCTGCATGGCTTCATATAGTAATAATCCTTTTTTTAAAAGAATATCTGGTACATATACATACTTAGTTTAAAAAATACTGTCCATATTCTGTTTAATACATAATTTCTCTTAGTTTTAAAGAGAGTAAACCTATCATGACATTAGCCCCATTTTAGATAAATGATGTTAAACTTCCAGGAAAGGTTGTATGGATGGTATACTTTTCAGGGAGTAAAAAGGCTGAGTAATCTGAGCAATGCAGATGTGAGGCCACTTGGTGAGATGTAGGGGGCAGTGTAACAACGGCTGAGAAAAGAAATGCCTGAATTACAGGAGTCAGGGCAGGGAGGGGTTAGGTACCAGCGGGAAATTCCTCTGGGGAAAACAGGTGAATTGTTCTTTTTTAACAAGACAGCACTTCTTCTGGCTTCTTGTTAAATTTAGAGCAAAGAAGATGGGAGTGTAGACCAGCTCTGGGCCATCAGAACACTAAAGGAATTACATTTTGTGCTGAAAGAGAAAGTAAGCACTTTTTGACTGACTTAAGATAAAATTAGGGAACATTTTATCTGATTTATTTGAAATAAAAAAGCATTTTAATATATCTATACGTATTATTTTTTAAATGTGATCATTTCTATATTTATTTTAGTAAAACGTAACACGTGAACTATTATCTATTTCTTCATAATTGAAGAAACTATTGTTTCATCATAAATGAATCATTCCAAATTTTATTTCATGAGGCCTGTACATTTTCAGTTCACATGTCATTGAGTTGACAGGGGTCCAATCGTTCCTCCTCATGTCCAGTCACTACCAAATATTCTGTTATGGAGTGATAAGTAGAATAAGAGTTTAGAATAAAATTTAAAGCAGAATGTGACAAGTTAGCTAGGGATTACAAAACAGC